GAGAAGTAAACTTACCTGGTCCTCTCTCTCTATCTGGTCACTCACATCCTGGGGCCTCTCCCCCTCCCCCAGTGACAGTGAAGAGAAGTAAACTTACCTGGTCCTCTCTCTCTATCTGGTCACTCACATCCTGGGGCCTCTCCCCTTCCCCCAGTGACAGTGTTGAGAAGTAAACTTACCTGGTCTTCTGTCTCTATCTGGTCACTCACATCCTTGGTTCCTTCCCCTTCCCCCATTCCTCCTCCTTCTATATCTACGAAGTCTGTAGCACCTTCGCCAGCTATCTCTTCTGCAAACTCAGCTGGCAGACAGAAACCCTGTAAAAAATTAAAGATAGCAATTTATTCTTGTGTGCTCAAAATCATACATATATAGCTAACACTACTTCATGAATGCCAGACAACAATTTCTTACTGGAGAAAAACATGTTACGAAAGGACTGAACTACTGGATAGGTCTGTGTGTCTGGTTCTTTTGGTGTATATAAGGGGTAGAAATGAAGAGGCCAAAGGGTCCTGCAATCTCCAGCATCTTCTGTTCTCTGAACAAGACAAAACAATGAATGCTTGAGGAAACAGTGTAATCGGGTATATTGGAAAAACACTGTTTCCTCCAATCTGTTATCATGGTGGCTAACTCACATTTTTTTTAACCCAATCAATAAAAATAGGTGAGGACAACGACAGGAACTTTTGTAACAATGTTGATCAAAATAGACCAAGTGGAGCTTTGAATAATCCATAACATCTCATCCAATGATCAAAGGATAAAATCAACATGTTGGATTTTCATTCAACCCAAACAATAATGATTTAGAACCATGAGAAGACTATTCATACCAAGTTTGGTAAACGTTGGCTGTGTGGTGTATGAGAAGAAGCTGAAATTGCCTTATCAAATCAGAGGACATGATGGCCATTTTGTTGCCTGAATCCACCCGTATGTAACACGTATTTAGGACCATGAAGGGATTATTACAGTGGCGCTTTGTGCCACTCAAAACAAAACGTGAGAGGCTAAAGGTTAAGTCACTGACATATCACTGAAACTTCATGTTACACATCAATACATCTTACCTTTGTTGTCAGCTCTGTGAAGACTCCCAGCAGAGTGGAGAGTAGTTTGCCTGTTGTCCTGGTGACAGCCAACTGTTGGAGGAAGTTATTCTGGACTACAGACAGGAAGTGGGTAATGAGGGGCAGACAGCGAACCAGCATTTGTCCACAGGGGGCGCTACAGGCACGCCCAGTCTCCGTGTCCCACAGCACAGTCAGCTCGTTCAGTAACACTTGAAGTTCAGCTTGGATCTGAAGACAAATTTATACAATTATGAATAGACAGTTTCGATTTTGACAAAGAGAGATACAACCTGTTCCAAGCAAAAATCTTCAATCAAAATTTATTGCTGATTCTTTCTAAAAAAAACAGCTGTGGAAATAATATCATTTTAATAGATTTTAATTAAAACCATGTACAAACGAAAAATTAAACAGATATATGTTAAATCATCAAAAGCTGACATCCGAGTGTTGAGCTACAACTATACTTTGTGAGAATCAAGCACAAGGCAGAGAAATCAACCCAGCACTTCTCCAACTCTATTTTAGTTGATTTTGATAATCAGTGACTGAATCGTCCTTCGTTATACCAGCCAAGTTGAACATTCACTTCAATTGTAGACATTTATCATGGAGAAACCTGAATTAGATAATTAAGTGAGCATGCTAGTCAATAAAAAGATGTTTTTAATTAGTTATTTGACTATCGCTACTAAATCTTGCTTCCCCTTCCTTTGATCAATGGTGACCCATTCTCACTATATACAATGCTCACCTTGTCAAAGCTGATCAATGGTGACCCATTCTCACTATATGTAATGCTCAACTTGTCACAGCTGATCAATGGTGATCCATTCTCACTGTATGTAATGCTAATCTTGTCACAGCTAATCAATGGTGACCCATTCTCACTATATATAATGCTCACCTTGTCACAGCTGATCAATGGTGTCCCATTTTCACTATACGTAATGCTCATCTTGTCACAGCTGATCAATGGTGACCCATTCTCACTATATGTCATGCTCACCTTGTCACAGCTGATCAATGGTGCCGCATTCTCACTATATGTAATACTCACCCTGTCACAGCTGATCAATGGTGACCAATTCTTACTATATGTAATGTTCATCTTGTCAAAGCTGATCAATGGTGACCCATTCTCACTTTATGTAATGCTCACCTTGTCACAGCTGATCAAGGGTGACCCATTTTCACTATATATAATGCTCACCTTGTCACAGCTGATCAATGGTGCCCCATTCTCACAATATGTAATACTCACCTTGTCACAGCTGATCAATGGTGACCTATTCTCACAATATGTAATACTCACCTTGTCACAGCTGATCAATGGTGATCCATTCTCACTGTATGTAATGCTAATCTTGTCACAGCTAATCAATGGTGACCCATTCTCACTATATATAATGCTCACCTTGTCACAGCTGATCAATGGTCACCCATTCTCACTATATGTAATGCTCACCTTGTCACAGCTTATCAATGGTGACCCATTCTCACTATATGTCATGCTCATCTTGTCACAGCTGATCAATGGTCATCCATTCTCACTATATGTAATGCTCATCTTGTCACAGCAAATCAATGGTGACCCATTCTCACAATAGTTAATGCTCATCGTGTCACAGCTGAGCAATGGTGACCAATTCTCACTAAATATAATGCTCACCTTGTCACAGCTGATTAATGGTGACCCATTCTCACTATATGTAATACTCACCTTGTCACAGCTGATCAATGGTGACCCATTCTCACAATATGTAATACAATGGTGTCCCATTTTCACTATACGTAATGCTCATCTTGTCACAGCTGATCAATGGTGATCCATTCTCACTATATGTAATGCTCATCTTGTCACAGCAAATCAATGGTGACCCATTCTCACTATATGTAATGTTGATCTTGTCACAGCTGATCAATGGTGACCCATTTTCACTATATGTAATGCTCACCTTGTCACAGCTGATCAATGGTGTCCCATTTTCACTATACGTAATGCTCATCTTGTCACAGCTGATCAATGGTGATCCATTCTCACTATATGTAATGCTCACCTTGTTACAGCTGATCAATGGTGACCCATTCTCACAATATGTAATACTCACCTTGTCACAGCTGATCAATGGTGATCCATTCTCACTGTATGTAATGCTAATCTTGTCACAGCTAATCAATGGTGACCCATTCTCACTATATGTCATGCTCATCTTGTCACAGCTGATCAATGGTCATCCATTCTCACTATATGTAATGCTCATCTTGTCACAGCAAATCAATGGTGACCCATTCTCACAATAGTTAATGCTCATCGTGTCACAGCTGAGCAATGGTGACCAATTCTCACTAAATATAATGCTCACCTTGTCACAGCTGATTAATGGTGACCCATTCTCACTATATGTAATACTCACCTTGTCACAGCTGATCAATGGTGATCCATTCTCACTATATGTAATGCTCATCTTGTCACAGCAAATCAATGGTGACCCATTCTCACAATAGTTAATGCTCATCGTGTCACAGCTGAGCAATGGTGACCAATTCTCACTAAATATAATGCTCACCTTGTCACAGCTGATTAATGGTGACCCATTCTCACTATATGTAATACTCACCTTGTCACAGCTGATCAATGGTGACCCATTTTCACTATATATAATGCTCACCTTGTCAGAGCTGATCAATGGTGTCCCATTTTCACTATATGTAATGCTCACCTTGTCACAGCTGATCAATGGTGACCCATTTTCACTATATATAATGCTCACCTTGTCACAGCTGATCAATGGTGACCCATTCTCACTATATGTAATGCTCACCTTGTCACAGCTGATCAATGGTGACCCATTCTCACTATATGTAATGCTCACCTTGTCACAGCTAATCAATGGTGACCCATTCTCACTATACATAATGCTCACCTTGTCACAGCTGAGGATGACTCCCTCCTGCTCCACTTTGTCACACAGTAACTTTACAAAGTGTCCTTCTTGGGATTCTTCATCTAAATCAAAATAATAACCCGGTAACAGTTAGAAAACTTCTTATATTCCTTTACCTGAAGTATTTGTGGATAATCTCTCTCAAATTGTTGTACCACTCTAATAATGCATTTGGTTGGTGTGTTTACCTGAGACAATAGGTTTCCTACTAATATTGACAGTTTAGCCGTACAAGTGAAAATCATATATAGAAATATACAGCAGAGGAAGTTTCATCTTTACTGTTTTGTTATTGTTCTTTTTATAGTTAACATATAAATCTACCTTTGCCTTCTTCTAGGTTGTCATCTTGTTGAACATATAACTTGGAGAGATTCTGGATGACCAAAAGAAGACTAGTTATCATGACTTCAACCTTGGTTCCAAACTCCTTAGATGAGCGTGTTTCCATGGTAACCTGGATCCCAGTAGTCTGATTGAGGGCCTCTATCCTCCAGTCGTGAAACTGTGAGGCCGTGTGAGTGATGTGTTGTCTGAGGAAGGACAGAGTCTCAGTGAAGGCAGACTGGTGAGAACAGCCTGGAGCACGAAATCCTTCCTCTACTGACTCCAGATTGGGCACCATTCCCTCCAGGTCACACATCAGGCTACTGATCAGGTCAAGGTCACTCCTATATATAAACAAATTACTGATGAACAGATCCAGGACATTCTTTATCATGTACACATGATTGCTAATCAGGTCAATGTCACTGCTCAATATAGACATAAGATACTAAGCAGGTCAACATTACTCCTAAGTATAAACAAACTACTGCTGAACAGCTCCAGGAAATATGTATACACAGTTCCCTCTAGGTCATCCATTAAGCTGCTGTTCAGGTCAAGGTCATTGCTTAATATAAACACAAGATTACTAATCGGGTCAAGGCCAATCCTAAATATTAACACTAAAGTGCTAAAATAGGTCAAAGTCATTTCTAAATATAAACACATGACAGCCAATTTCATCAAGGTTGTTGCCTACATCAGCAAACAATTGAGTACGGGTAAACAAAAATCATGGTTACCTTGTAACCTCTTGTCACAATACTTGATGAGTAGAGTTCTGATCTATCTATTTAGAGAACTGATACTTCTGTAATCTAATATAAACACAAAATATAAATGAACACAAACTTATCAGATCAGTATGTCAAAGTCATTGGTCACATCCAGCAGTTTGTTCTGTATGTATGCTACACTACTGATCTTGCCTACGTTACTAGTATCATTCCAATGTTGCTGTCTAATTCCACTAGATTATTTTGGATACACATTACTGGTAGATTGCTAGTGAACACTTTACCAGGTCAGTAGCCAACGGCCCTCTGTCACATTCAGCAGTTTACTCTGAACATCCTTTATGCTGGCTTGGATTTTCTGCAATAATAATTAGTACACATGTTATAGACAAGACTCAAAACACAGCAATTTTAAAGATGAAATATGGATCGAAAATCTTTAAGGCATGTTCCCCACTAGTGAAACCAGTATTGAACTGACTAGTGTGTTTTACTTTATGGAGTAACAAGAGGTCATACTAATGCACTCACAAATGTAAAAGTAGACAAAACACTAAACAGGTCAGTACATGCTTAGCTTAATAAGCTTAACATGTTAGAACATTTTAAATGGTGTTCATAACATCCTTTCCTTAAGAATGAATGTGAAAGTAATTATTTCAAGAAATTTATATGGTCCAAGTAAAATGACCTTGACCCAACAAAATACTGACCTTGACCTTGTCAGATGCCTCACTCCAGACCTGGTCACCATGACATACCAGTGCCATGAGTGACAGATGGGAGGAGGGGAAGGGTGAAGGGTGAGGGGAGAGTCCATTTCCTGGGGAGGGGCAACAGTTCAGGAGGGCTTCGAACTGTACCATACCCTCCAGTACTGTCACCAATAGAGCCTTGATCTGTGCCTGTGGATGAAATTATACTACCAGTAACAAAAATAAAACAGGTTTTGAATTCTCATATGAATTAAAATATGTGATTAAGATTTGATTGGAATATTTCTCAAAATATTTCAGTGGCTTTAGCAAGAAATACATGGCATGCTTTCATTACTAAAGGTAACACATTGAACAATGTGATGGAATGAAACAGCAACAGACTCATTTAAGATATACCCACAACATACTTAAACATCTAAACGAAAGAACTATTTTCAGTCAGAGTGGTGAACAATTGGAATAATTTATCATCACAGGTGGAAAACAAACAATTTTTAAATTCAATTAGAACACCGACAGGTCAGTAAGGGCCCCATCTTGTGGCAATATATCCCCCATAATCATCAAGAAGCAATCTGCCCATATAGTTGAGCTTGACGTCTGACATTTGGACTTCAAAAAGAATTGCAAGGAAACAAAATATACATTTTACATGTACTATGATGTGAGTCTCGTTTCCTTCCACCTCCATATTTGCTGGGCTAACAGAAATGTAAATACCGGTGCAATACTCATTTGTTAGCTTTGATATGTTTTATTTCACCTTAAATACCTCCTCCATCAAGAGCCAGGGTCAAAGTCAGAGATCCACTTTGTCTTTGACCTTTGGACCCAAATGACTTGGCCTTTAACCCAGTGACCCTGATCTTTTGTCAGTTGACTTATTCTTTAAATACGACCAACTTTGCTTCATAATATCATAACAAAATGTTCATCAGTGAAAAATACAAAACTTGACCTTGAACCTTAGGACCTGTAACCTGGACCTTGGGTCAGTTGACTCCATGTAATGTTCTGAACAACTTTGCTTCATAATAACATAAAAATAATGTTCATCAGTAAAAAGATGAAATATTTGACCTTGACATTGACCCAGTGACCTTGACCTTAAGTCAGTTGAACTTTGTTAAATTCCGACCAACTTCGCTTCATAATGTCATAACGAAATGTTCATCAAGGAAAAGATACAAAATTTGACCTCAACCTTTGACCCAGTGACCTTGACCTTTAGTCAATTGACTCCTTGTTTAATTCTAAGCAACATTGCTTCAAAGCGTAATAACGAAATGTTCACCAGTGGAAAGATCCAAAATTTAACCTTGACCTTTGCCCCAATGACCTTACCTTTGGTCAGTTGACTCCTTGTTTAATTCTGACCAATATTGCTTCTTAGTGACATAACAAAATGTTCATCAGTGAAAAGATACAAAATTTGACCTTGACCAGTTGACTCTTTGTTTAATTCTAAACAACTTTGATTCATCATGTCATAACATAATGTTCATCAGTGAAACGATGCAAAAAATGACCTTGACCTTTGAACCTAATGACCTTGACCTTTGAACTCGACTTTTTACTTCAGTTCGTCTTTGTTTAATTCCGACCAACTTTGCTTCATAATGTCATAAAATGCTCATTAGTGAAAAGCTACAAAATTTGACCTTGACCTTTGACCTAGACCTCTGACCCGATGACCTTGGGTCAGTTGACTCCTTGTTTTATTCTGATTAACTTTGCTTCATCGTGTCATAACAAAATGCACATCAGTGAAAATATGCAAAATTTGACCTGGACCTTTGAACCTTATGACCTTGACCTTTGACATTTACTTTTTACCTTAGTGTGTATTTTTGTGAACTGAACATCTTGACCAAGTTTCATGTAAATCGGTCAAATGATACTAAAGTAAACAGCCAGGAACAAAATTTGTGGATGGACAGACAGACAGTCAGACGGTCAGACGGACGGACGGACAGACAGACAGACAGACAGAGTGATTACTATAGGGCACCTGTATCTCCGCTCCGGGGCCCTAATAAAGAACAGGCTAGATAAACGCTGGAAATATCAGGAAATTTATATTACTTTAGAGCACCGATTGAAAGCAGACTTCAAGTTCAAGATACATGGATAATGATTGAGTCCAGTGTAGAGGACCTATAAGGTCTTGTACTGGAAAGGTCCAGTGGAGAGGACTTATAGAGGTCCTGTACTGGAAACTAACTCTAAGTAACTGGATAGTGAGACACTTACTGTCCAATCGGTCAGCTGCTGAACAGGAGGCTGTGGTCGACTCATATCCTCTTCTAGTCTAGCCAACACACTGGTCATCTCACTATAGGATACACAAATATAATTTATATACAAACAAAAACATCTCACTATAGGATACACAAATATAATTTATATACAAACAAAAACCTGTAGGATCTTGTATTCTAAAAGTGAAAAAATCATAATAAAAATATGACATTTTATTTTAAGGCTAATAGTTGTTGGTAAGTTTGAGACAGTGAAATGACTACTACACTGACCTGAGCTTGTTGAAACCTTCACTGATGCTGGACAGACCTCGGTACTGACGGATCAAGATGTCAAACAGGTGTTCTGTAAATCCTTTACATCGATCAATGTTTCCTACACCCAACTCCTACAAACATAATAGCACACCGGTCAAGGTAGGACATGCTGTAAACACTGATGGCTACTGTTGGAGAATGGTTAGTTTGAGGTTTTTTCATGGTAATCATGAAACACTAATGACTTGAATATGCAAAACCATGTCACACTCCGTATTGATCACACCCACTTTGTACTGAACACTCACTATGCAATGATCTCTGACTTCACCCTTTATGTTCCGACCACACTCACCCTCTATTTACCACACCTACCCATGTTCTGAACACTCATTATGTCCTAACCACACCCATTATGTATTCAACTGACCACACCAACTTTGTCCTGAACATTCACTGTGTCCTGACCACACCCACTATGTCCTGACCACATCTACACTATACTTACAACACCAACTATGTCCCGACCACATCTACACTATACTCATCACACCAACTATGTCCTGACCACATCTACACTATACTTACCACACCCACTATGTCCCGACCACATCTACACTATACTTACCACACCCACTATGTCCTGACCACATCTACACTATGCTTACCACACCCACTATGTCCTGACCAGATCTACACTATGCTTACCACACCCACTATGTCCTGACCACATCTACACTATCCTTACTACACCCAATAAGTCCTGACCACATCTACACTATACTCACCACACCCAATAAGTCCTGACCACATCTACACTATACTTACTAGACCCAGTATGTCCTGACCACATCTACACTATACTCACCACACCCACTATGTACTGACCACACCCACTCTGTACTGACCACACCCACTATGTACTGACCACACCCACTATGTACTGACCACACCCACTCTGTACTGACCACACCCACTCTATACTGACCACATCCAGTCTGTGCTGACCACACCCACTCTGTACTGACTACACCCACTCTGTACTGACCACACCAACTCTGTACTGCATGACTACACCCACTCTGTACTGACCACACCCAGTCTGTACTGACCACACCCACCCTTTACTGACTACACCCACTCTGTACTGACCACACCCACACTACTGACCACACCTTCACTGACAACAACCATTTATTACAAGCTACACCTGTGTTTTAGTACTTACATTTGAGGGTGTCTGGAGTGCTGCCATAAAGCGAACCTTCCTAGCTATACAGCTGTTGTAGTACTGACTACAGCCATCTCCCAGAGTGGTCAAAACATTGCCTAACCTGAAATTAACATCCAGTTAAAAGTTGAATATTTTGCGTACATAACTTATCAAAATACCAAAAAATGATTCAGATTACTGTAATGATATTTGTTAAATGTTAAACAAGTGATTTTAGCGGTGAGGCTTGTTGAAACAATTGGGTCAAAAGTGGGGGTAGAGCGTGGGCTTATTACAAGACATGGTCTAATCACTGGTAATATACAGCTTTAGTAAAAAATAATGGTAGATAAGTTTGAACTTACTCAATGTCAGGGTTTTGTTGTACCAAGGCAGTCAAATTGACAGGTGGAACCAGAAGAGCATCATTCTGGCTCTCAGTCTTGTTCATCAGCACCAGACCTTTCCTGTAGGACAGACCTGTACAAAGATAATCTCACATTAGTGACTGACTGTCCAGTGGGGATAAATATCAAAATTTTCAACCTGTTGGTTCCCAAGAAGAGGCTTTTTCCTCTGTGTCCCAAATGGTTCCTTCTTTTTGCCTCTCAAAGGGCCACAGAAAAGGGCCTATTTTCTCTCAAAAATCTAAATCAACATCTTCTTATTAGGTTTCAAATTTCATTAAAATTTGTTTAGTTATTCTTGAGAAGAAGATATTCAAAGAAATCATTATAAGATGGATTAATGATGGACAACAATGGGTTACAATAGCCCAACTAGCCCTTTGGGCCAGATGAGCTGATAAATGCCTGGGATCTAAACAGATGTATTCTTTTATCGAAGTTAACTGACCTGTGAATGCAAGATGTTTAAACAGGTCTGCCAGGGCTTTCCTCTTCTTCTGATGGATATGTTTGGCTTCTGACTTCTGCTTGTCTTTATCTGCCGACTGTGGGTAGGAATCACATACAAGGGTACAATAATTACATGGTCTATAATATTAGTGTATAAAACACATATAAACAGAATGAAATGTGGAGCATTATATAATTTCGCAGTAAATGAAGATGATATTTGAAATGCATGGTTTGAACAATAGCACATTCACATATAATTTCAAGGAATTTCTGGTAGCAATTATCAAATACAGTGTGAAACATTATAATAAGAACTTTTTCTGACGCATTCTTATAACAAAATATATAAAAACATTGAAATGTAACAAGACTACAAAGCTATATAATGTATACAAAGTTATAACATACCTATCAGTACAAGTGTGCCTAATAAACAATCCTTACCTGGTTCACTTCAAGGGACTGTAGTTCATGTATTGTCTCAATGATTTCACCTAAAAAAATGACATCGATGTTAGAGTAAAAAAGTTCCAATAAAATATGATAATTTACGGAGTACTTTACTGACCTACTTAAGATATTGATCTGGTTTGTGAGGATGAATCTGACGTGACAGTTATAATTTTGGTCTGTGCACCTGTATTAGTCGACAAATACTTCATCAGATGTAAATATTTACCTGTCCCCTCGTCCATAGATGTGTTGTGGACCGTGTACCAAGTATTTGTGGTGTACTTTGTCAGATGTAAATATTTACCTGTCGCCTCGTCCATAGATGTGATGTGGTCCGTGTACCCAGTATTTGTGGTGTATTTTGTCAGATGTTTGCCTGCTCTATGACACAATGATAGCAGGCGACACTGCAAGGGGAACAACTCCTCCGTCATGAAGGCGGGTAGATCTATTGTCTTTTGCTTAATTTTAAAACATGAATAATTAGAAAGAAATCAGTGATGTGAATGGGGTTTTTTCCACTGCATATTTATTTCTAATCTTTTTGAAATAATACATGTATCTTTACTTTATACAATATATATACTATATACTATTTTTATAAAGAAAGAAAAGAGATAAATGACCTTGATATATAACCTTATGTAAATGACCTTGAGATGAAACTTCAGGTAAATGACCTTGAGATATACATTACAAGGTAGATAAATGACCTTGAGATGAATAAATAACTTAAGGTAAATGACCTTGAAATACAGTTTCAGATAATGACCTTGACATATAACTAACAATAGTATATAAATAACCTTGAGATAAACTTACCACAGTGGATGTGAAGTTGATACTTGACACCGCATGTGACAGGTCCATCAGCCATGACGACGGCTGACTCACACTGTCCACCTCGGCATTACCTTCCCTCAGTATACCTTGGATGGGTAACTCTAATATTGCCTTCAAACATATATTGATCCAAACTCAATTTTCTTCATAATCAAAATGTTGGCTAAATGAAACTGAACTGTCCTATCATCAAGATTTTGTTTCGTTTACACAATATTTTTATCAACAATCAAATATTTATTACATACATATGATGTCGGAGGGACTGAAAACAAGCTTTTTAGAGATTGTACTAATCCTTTTCAATTCCGTCTTATTTGTTTTTACCTTTTTTTTTTTTTTACATGTTTAAAAATCTCACGTTATATATATATGACAATAGATGCAAATGTATGCATGGTTCTCTATAGAGCTGAAATCGGGGTATGCACCTGGCTTTAATTTTTACCCAAATGGTCTGAACTATGGTTATTTAATTGCAATGAATGTTTTAGTAAATGTTGTTATGGTCCTATAACACACATTGCTATTGATGACAAACTTAACAAGAGGCCCATGGGCCTTAACGGTCACCTGATATATTTATACAGAGAGTTGATTTTTGTTTTTAACATGAACAGAAATATTATTCAAAGTGACAAAACACAATAAAACCACCTTATTCAATATCTAGCATACAGATTTCAGACTAAAAAGTATTTGAAACTAGCACCTCTGATTCTAAACAAGGAAAATGAAGAAATTTTAGCACACTGACTCCTTTGAGCCCCACCCTACAGCCCTTGGGGGTAGGGCTGGCTCAAAATTTTCAAAGTATCAAACTGTCAACTCAAGGTTATAATTCCAATCAAGTTATTAACATGTAATATTCAAAGTATCATTTGCCATTATAAACCATAATAAATTTTGCCCCCNAAATTTCATTGAAATTGGTTCAGGGGTTTTGGAGAAGAAGTCGAAAATGTAAATTGTTTACGGATGCACGACGGACGACGACGGACAAAAGGCGATCGCAATAGGTCACTTGAGACTTTGTCTCAGGTGACCTAATAAAGCCTGGTAGGCCCCACTGATCAACCCAAACCTACACCTGACGTTGGCTCTATTACCTTACTTTAATAGCAAATGTTGTTATAGTCTCACAACAACATTTGCCCTCTCAATGCATTCGATGGAAGGATGCAGAGCAAATGTAAATACTTTAAAATTGCATTGGACATGCTTAATGGCAAGAAGAAAAGATGACAATGGACATACAGTTCATTGTTGTATCATTATAATTTTGTGGCTTCCTGTGACCTACCTTAAAGGACTTCATTTGTTTGTGTAATGTACGATGTGTCTTCTCCGTCGTCTGCTTCAGTGCCCAGTAATTCATGTCTGTCCAGCGTGCAATCTTCACAAAACCCTGTACAACAAATATTAAATCTCAGTACCTTTGACAAGACAATAAACTTAGATACATCATCTTGAGTAAGACTAATTTATCGCTAACACTGAGTTCCTTCAGTATAGGTAACAACAGTCGGTATAATCCATCTATACCAAGTCAGTAAATTGATCACTCACCTTGAGTTCCTTCAGTATGGGAGACAACAGTTGGTATAGTTCCCTCTTTACCGTGTCAGTAAATTGATCACTCACCTTGAGTTCCTTCAGTGTGGGAGACAACAGTCGGTATCATCCATCTTTACCATGTCAGTAAATTGATCACTCACCTTGAGTTCCTTCAGTATGGGAGACAACAGTTGGTATAGTTCCCTCTTTACCGTGTCAGTTAATTGATCACTCACCTTGAGTTCCTTTAGTATGGGAGACAACAGTCGGTATAATCCCTCTTTACCGTGTCAGTTAATTGATCACTCACCTTGGGTTCCTTCAGTGTGGGAGACAACAGTCGGTGTAATTCCCTCTTAACCGTGTCAGTAAATTGATCACTCACCATGAGTTCCTTCAGTGTGGGAGACAACAGTCGGTATAGTTCCCTCTTTACCGTGTCAGTTAATTGATCACTCACCTTGGGTTCCTTCAGTGTGGGAGACAACAGTCGGTATCATCCATCTATACCATGTCAGTAAATTGATCACTCCCCTTGAGTTCCTTCAGTGTGGGAGACAACAGTCGGTGTAATTCCCTCTTAACCGTGTCAGTAAATTGATCACTCACCATGAGTTCCTTCAGTGTGGGAGACAACAGTCGGTATAATTCCCTCTTAACCGTGTCAGTAAATTGATCACTCACCTTGAGTTCTTCAGTATTGGAGACAACAGTCGGTATAGTTCCCTCTTTACCGTGTCAGTTAATTGATCACTCACCTTGAGCTCCTTCAGTGTGGGAGACAACAGTCGGTGTAATTCCCTCTTAACCGTGTCAGTAAATTGATCACTCACCTTGAGTTCTTCAGTATGGGAGACAACAGTCGGTATAATTCCCTCTTTACCGTGTCAGTCAATTGATCACTCACCTTGGGTTCCTTCAGTGTGGGAGACAGCAGTCGGTATAATTCCCTCTTAACCGTGTCAGTAAATTGATCACTCACCATGAGTTCCTTCAGTGTGGGAGACAACAGTCGGTATAATCCCTCTTTACCGTGTCAGTTAATTGATCACTCACCTTGAGTTCCTTCAGTATGGGAGACAACAGTCAGTATAGTTCCCTCTTTACCGTGTCAGTCAATTGATCACTCACCTTGAGTTCCTCAGTATGGGAGACAACAGTCGGTATAGTTCCATCTTTACCGTGTCAGTATATTGATCACTCACCTTGAGTTCCTTTACTATGGGAGACAACAGTCGGTATAATTCCCTCTTTACCGTGTCAGTAAATTGATCTCTCACCATGAGTTCCTTCAGTATGGGAGACAAAAGTCGGTATAATCCCTCTTTACCATGTCAGTAAATTGATCACTCACCTTGAGTTCTTCAGTATGGGAGACAACAGTTGGTATAGTTCCCTCTTTACCGTGTCAGTTAATTGATCACTCACCTTGAGTTCCTTCAGTATGGGAGACAACAGTCGGTAAAGTTCCCTCTTTACCGTGTCAGTAAATTGGTCACTCACCTTGAGTTCCTTCAGTATGGGAGACAACAGTCGGTATAGTTCCCTCTTTACCGTGTCAGTATATTGATCACTCACCTTGAGTTCCTTCAGTATGGGAGACAACAGCCAGGTATAGTTCCCTCTTTACTGTGTCAGTAAATTGATCACTTACCTTAACTTCCTTCAGTATGGGAGACAACAGTCAGTATAGTTCCCTCTTTACCGTGTCAGTTAATTGATCACTCACCTTGAGTTCCTTCAGTATGGGAGACAACAGTTGGTATAGTTCCCCCTTAACCGTGTCAGTAAAGTGATCACTCACCTTGAGTTCATTCAGAATGGGAGACAACAGTTGGTATAGTTCCCCCTTAACCATGTCAGTAAATTGATCACTCACCTTGAGTTCCTTCAGTATGGGAGACAACAGTCGGTATAGTTCCTCTTTACTGTGCCAGTAAATTGATCACTCACCTTGAGTTCCTTCAGTATGGGAGACATCAGTCTGTCTAGTTCCTTCTGTATTATGTCAGTGAACTGATCGTAGAACTGATGCAGATTCCACAGGAATGACAGAAGGGTGGCTACAACACAAGAGATACCTTGTACTTCTTATCAAATTTCCTTCACATGATCAAGTTTCAGATACTGCTATATAAACGGTAAACATCCTAATAGATATTGCTTTGTTTTATTCTGCAACATGCTTTACATTAATTGCCTCTGTATGACCCTAGGAAACATAGAAATTTGTTTCCCAAGATCAGTCATGATTGAGGGAAACAAATTTCCATATTTCCCTACGGTTAATAATTGTGGTTCGTTCATTCATGCTAAAAAATATATCATATGATTGAATAACAATTTCTTAAAACAAGAGTACCGCAGGGCGGAACAATATACGCCCGTCGAATGCCATATAGTGTTATATACTTTCTTACATTGAAATAAGATCTGCATCATTCTAAGAGTGACTAGCTGACATGCTATAAAAAGGAGGAGATTGCTGGACAAAAATCAAATACTGAAATAAACAAAGGGCAATACCTTTTGCAAAAATTGTTGAATAATAATTTTTTTCAAGGAAACACAACATATCATGATTATTTAGCCTACTAAGTTTCAAAGAAATCCGTCAAAAAATGTAGGAGATCACCGGACAAAAAATCAAGTACTGAAATGAACAAAGGGCAATTTCTTTTGGAAAAATTGTCGAATCAAAATTCTTTTAAATATGACACAACTTCATATCATGATTATAATGTATACCAAGTTTCAAAGAGATCGGTCGAAAAACGTAGAAGATTTCCGGACAAACAAAAGTTTACGCTGGACAGACGGACGGATGATGCTATACCAAAATACTCCTGTCAAATTTGACGGGCGTATAAAAAGCATGTTTATTTTAGGGGCATATATGAACCAACAGTCCTACTGTATACATTTCTTATAATAAATCAAACTTTAGTGTCTTTTTATTAATTGTTATTTATTAAAAACAATTATGAAACAAGTTTCATCAACTTATCTAAATTCCTCTTGTTGGCACAGATGGTAGTATGCATGGGTTTCTTGGTGAGGAAGGACACTGGAGTACCCAAGGAAAACCTATGTTGTCAGGCTGGGGACCTGATATCTTGTCGTGTCCAATTCTGATTCATATCTTCACTTTCAGTTATGGAGGGTGGACATTTTGTATTAAATCACACTCATGACAGAGCTTATATTAGCCATGCAGAGATTATAGAGAATAGTATGAAATACAGACCTTGTTTAGGGGACGTCTCCATGACAACCAGCTGACAGTGGAAGGCCTTGAGCATGCCCAGTCTTAAACTGTAGTCCCCTAGAGTGGCTCTCTCCATGAACTGTTTGAAAGATTTCAGAATCTCTGCCTGGCTACTTCCTCCCTCATCAGTTTGACCAGCAGGACCATGATCCTCTTCCACCTTCCGAACAAATTTTTAATTCCAAAAACTTACATCAATCAATAATATTGTCAAGCATTTAATTTTCCGAAGTGCTCAAATTAGTTATGAATAACACTTTCATTGACTTATAAAACTGTACTGTTGTCAAACATTTCTGTTACCTGTGATCTTTGTTGCAAAAAGGCTTGGATCAACTGGTATAGATGAAACCACCACCGGCTTGCGTGGCACTTGTGTTTTCTCCTGACAGACTCAAGACATTGACTCCAACAGCTATCGAAGATAAAACATCAATAACTGAATTGTTTCTAAAAATAAATGAATTTAAACTTTGTAATGTGTGCAATTGGAGTGGAAAAATGCATGGTCAGACAGGGGCTCAAACCTGAGACCCACCAAACTCCAGACAGGCTTATTACCAATTCAGCTTCCTGGTCGGCGAGGATTGACCCAGTCTAGTTCCGCTACATTCCTCACTCCTTTAACAAAGTCTTCGACCCCTAGGACACACAAAACCCTATTCCACTTCCCATGGGTATATTTTGTTAGGTGCCAAATGTAACAGGACAAATGTCTGGCCAGACTACATGTACTTGGGACCCTCCAAAGTCTAAACAAATGGTCTACCAATTGAGCTACATGGTTGCCAATGATCAACCTGGTCTAGTTCCACTACATGTGTATAGTCCACATGAGGTCTGGCCATGTGAGAAAAAGATTACCGAAACCAGTAAATCTGATGCAAGTGAACCTACCTGAGCTCTAGCTTCCTCCACTGCATGATCAGTAGCGACACGTCTGCCAGCTGTGTAACCATGGAAACATGTCTAGCAGCATTGCTCTCCCATTCCTGTAATTAAACAATTAAACTACATTGTAGATGTATTTCTAAATGATATATCAAGTCGCATATCACAACAAATATGTGACTTTGATTGTTGGTAGTTTTATTGAATTCGATGAAGATTAACATTCAGTTTGAAGTTACAGTAGCAACCAATTTGGCAATAAAGGCAGGTACCAATATTAAATCACTGCATTATATATTTGATATACTTCTTTTTGGAGAAGTTCACAAAGTAGACCTAGATGTAACTTACCTGTGCCTTCTCTAACAGTAGTTCTAGGCCTGTGAGGAACTTCATTATAGAGCAGGTCACTGGGAAGGTCAAGATCCTGTCTGCTATTTTCATTAGCTGAAAATAATGTGTCAATTAGCTATTCAGCAGTATCATTTGAATTTCAGCAATACAGATGTAAAAGAAGCAATTCTAGGTCCGGGTAATATGCTCTTTCTCTGATCAGTGCTGGGTGACATCAGTATCTACAGGGCTACTTAACATGAATGTAATTTTCCCACTTAGAAGAAAACCTTTTGCATTTGTCTTTTTCTCTCATTCTATATGAACAATATTACCAAGTGATTTTGAAGTAAAATGTCTTAGCCTATAAACCTTAATTGCATCAGAATGTAAAATTACAAACACAATTTTTGAATACAAAGATATTACAATCTCCAATCGTCCTAAATTTTTGTACTTTACTAACTTAAACTCAACTGGCTTGACCCAAACTTTCAGCTGGAAGGGCTCTTGGTTCCTGTCCCTTAAAATTAGGAGTTACACTGGGTATGGGTCTCACCTGTCTGAGTGTAGGATGGTCAGGCCATTCAGAAAGTAGCTCCTGGACACGAGCGGTCAGTCGCTCCAGAACTGGTCGACACTGGACAACCTCTGCCACATTAGGGTCGTGATAAATGTCAAATGTAGGTTTCCCTGTCACTGGTGTGAGATCTTTGCCGCAGGAAACTGATGGAGTTATCTGCTCCTGAATCAGTTGACTTGCTAACAGGTGTCCTCCAATAACTTGGGAGTCTACTTCATTTGCTAGAAAAAAGTATGTGAGTCTACTTTATTTGCTTAAAAAACTATGTAATTAGTTACAAAAAGTTATCACATTGGTTATAATTAGCTACAAACACCAACTCTTTGGTTGACTACAAGGATTATTACCCTATTAATGGCTTAAAATGTTACTTCTCTGGTTAATGTGTGGGTTAATGTTTTCTTGGCAATGCTTAATCATGTTATTATTTCTCCAAATTCCCTTATAAATTTTCATATTAGCTGCATAGATCATTTTTTAGCTTCATAGTTAGCTACAAAGATTGTTTTAAATCAGTAACTCACACAGGATGTCATACGTGAGGGTAGCTATGACACTCCCTACACAGTAGGTGGACAGGTACGGGGCCACCAGGTCCTGGCTGTCCACCTGAGGAGCTGGTAACCTTGGTAACCAATTGGCTCGACAAAGTGATGTGAACACCTGGTGGTGACTTTGGTAAACATGGTACATCTCCTCCTCTGTAATCATGTCCAGAGTTGTCTCCTCCTGCTCAGCTCCTCCTGTGTCATGTTGAGTCTCCATGCCTTCAGACTCATCCAACGTGTCTGTGCCGGTGATGTCCACAAATTCCTTCATAACACAAGAAATCATAGACATAGTGTTCATATACACCAGATTCTCGTTATAATCCAATCATCTTCTTTTCCATCAACAGATGTAGTTACATTCGCCACATGTATCCATATACACACATGTATCCATATACACACATGTATCAGAACAAGAGGGGAACAACCTTATAACTTTACTATGACATTTAAAAATGTTTGATACCAATATTGCATTCAGATCGTTATATATAAACTGTACGAACATGATGGTTTCCTTGTCCAGATAAAGATGACTCTTTTGTAGATGAGTTACATTTTTATGAACACAAAGATATATACTAACATTAACAAATGTTGGGAAGCTGCTCCTGAATTCCTCCTCTTCAATAACATCTATGTGTCTATCATCGCCATGAACTTTGGACTTGTACCGGTAAAGACTTTCTTCCTCCCTCTCACGCTCTTTCTTTGCCTCCTCCTGTCTTTGCCAAGTTGTTACAAACTGATGGAACAACAAGGACAAGGTGAAGGTCATATCTGAGGTCAACTCCCTCCTTGCTAGACTGTCGGACTTTACAAGGTCAAGGCTGGCATGAAGTAACCTAGAAACAGGCAAACAAGGCAAGATCAAATTAACTTACATAATGTTAGTCACATTTACAGCAGGGGTCACTGCAATTGTGTGGAAACCAAGCAACAGAAACAGCAGGGGTCAAGACAAGCATGAGGCAACCTAGCAACATAAGAAGCAGAGGTCAAAACAAGTGTTTGGTGACCTAGCAATAAGGACTGGCCTATGAGGGTAGAACTTGAAGTTTTACAATAACATGTCTTTATGGCTGTCTTACCTGGAAATGAGTTGTTTTTCTTGTCGGTATTTAATGTCCTGCGTGTCTTTTCGCCGGATCACCGTCAGAAGGAGGCTTGATGTCAGGTCAGAGGTTAAAGACTTCACAAGGTCAAGGTTACTGGGATATGCTTTAGATATCGTTGGAAACTTGGCCATCATCATTAGCTTCTCTTCCAGCTCCCCATGGGACTATAAAATAATGACTTCCTTTGGCTACTGATACCAATACATGTACATCACTACACATGCTGTATGTGCTCGGGGTAATTGTATCTCAATGTATATATATCAACAAGATGTTCGAATATTAATAATCATCTCGCCTTGTGAATAAATTAAAAAACATAGATCTCATGAATTAATATATAAGATTTATAAGCATGAATGTGAAAAAAAAACTCTCTTTATTTCATAACAGATTTAGAAGAGGCAGTAATAACAATGTTAATCCATACATTTTTCAACAGCATGCTTTTTGCAATTACAATGGAATTTTACAACAAACTCACAAATCTTCAATACTCCATTGATCTTGGAGAACTTTCCATTGTTCGAAAGACTCTGATGTGATGATGGTTTACTATATATTCAGGGGTGGACAGTTTCATATTAAAATACTTCGACCTCAGAAAACTTTTGGAAAATTCTACTAGCCTGACCTATATTTTCATTGGTAAATACTAAAAAAAAAAAAATCAAGCCCTGACATAAAATCTGCTACCCCGGTCATAAGCCGGGGCGAATTATACGCCCCTGTTATTATTTTTTTTAGCTGAACTTCAAAGGACAAGAGACAATTAAACCCGATTCAGCCACTCTTCAGCCATGAATGCCTCTTTATAATTTTTCCTTGTTGTTTGTTATATATTTTGACCAATCATCTGTCAATTCATTTTTTACAAGTTTTTACCTGTTGACCAATCAGCTGTTGTCTGACTTGTTGCTGCTGAGCACTTCCTGCCACCAAGCGAACACCATGCCTGACCAGTGCAACAGTGAGACTAAATGGGGTGACTAAGTCCCGATACTCTGGATACCGGGTATCTAGGTTGTCAAGGAAGGACTCTTGGGTTTTCTGCCACATCCTCTCCTCAGCAAACTCATTCCCTGTTGTCTTGGCAACAGACTTAAGTCTGTCCAGGAGCTGGAGAATGTGATCCTCATTCCCAACACTTGACATGTAGTCTCTGATGTCACTCACAAGAAACTTAAACTGAAACATATCATACATATAAGTAAGCAAAGTGGCTGGTTTTGGAACATAACACACTGCATCATCATCTTCATTTCTTTCATCTTTGTATGTTCGAGATAGAAATTGTTGTCGTCCCTGAGTGTGCAAGATGTGTTTCTCACCTCTACATACATAAATTAAAGACCTAGTCCAACCTACTATATATGTTGTGAATTAGGTTAAACTGTCAGCAAAGCCTTGGATATTATTCCAATTAATAACCCCAAACGGAATTTCCCAATCTTCTGCATCCAAATTTAAAAGGGTCTTCTAAACTTTTGACATACACACATTTATTGCAACTTGAGAATAATTATGTTAATCTTATGATATCAAGTCTTGTAATATTTTTTAATTTGATCCACGAAATGGAGCTTACCTTGGAGGGTTTTGGCCTGTAGGCCTGCTGTAGTTCCAGTTTGGTGACCTTTTCCTGGAGATATTTTGTCATGGCGACCAAATGAGGTATGCGAGGATGTAACAAGTGGTCAGGCAGACTGGACACTGGTTGACCAGTGGCTGATAGATGATGCTGACCATACACACTCAACTCTGCCTGTATGTCCTCCAACTGTAATAGCAATGCAATGAGAACTGTACATGTCCGACTTTACCTATCACAAGCATTGTCAGCTTAACATCTCTAAATAAAAAAAATCAATCTCAAATATTTCAATAATTATTGAATTTATTAACAGTTAAAACTGTGTAAGTCAAAATTTCAAACCATCATCTGCAGACAAAAACAGGAAAACACTTGCACAACTCCAGATTGTTACTAAAAATTAGTAAATTTGTAAATTTTTAATGAAATGCCTGTTTAATTTGAAGGTGTTTTAAACAACTCAACCCATCAGAGACAGTACTCCAGTACAGAAATAACACCAGATAATCTAACAAGCTACCAACTTCTGATTTCTGGTTTTCCCTAGAAGAAACATTTACGATACTTCTTGATTTCTCTGATCAAATGCCCATCAATGTGGCCTTTTTTCGAGTTACAGGAAAGTGTTAATGTACCTCTATGAGTGATATGATAAGAACTGCATATTTATCGTGATCTTTATAATATGGAATGAGGGTTGACTAATTTGTTTGTCTGCATTGGGTAAAATATACATATGTGGACTTTGGTGATCTAGAGACAGCTGAAAAACTAAAACTAAGTGTAAAGGGATTCAAATTGATCATTTGTAGACAAGAAATACAGAATATTAATAAATTTTAAAATATTTCTCAAAAATAGCATTCTCAAAATTTACAATTAACGACTTGTTAAGTGAATCAGTCTTTGAACACCCGGGCTCAGACTTTTTACTTTAAATAAATTTATTTAAGAAATTTAAAGCATAAATAAATATTGGGGATAAAATCTTGTTGACATGTCACCTACCTCTTGTCTGGCGTACTTGAGTTTTACGGCCACTTTCTCCACAGGGTCCACACTGACAGTTGGCACCAGCAGCGCCCTGTGGAGGAGGCCGAGGTGGAGCCAGGCTGTGCCTACATCCACCAGACTGACTGGGTCAGCTCCAAACACTTTAAACACACTACAGAAACATCTCTCTATCTGACACTTCAGATCAGGTAAGCTCTCAGTCAGACAACTTTGGCACGAATCTATTCTGTCTCTGAGCAAGCCCTCAATGACAACCTCACATCTGACCTCCTCTATGACAGTTTGACCTCTGACCTCCATCATCATGGTCTGGATATCACTGAAGAGTCTGTTGTAGCTTTCCACCTTGTCAGTGGAGACAACTGAGCTGACAGACTTCAGGAAGAATACAAACACCTCCAGTAAGTGCTGTTTTTCTAAACACCTGCAAAAACAATTGTGGATCAATGATGTCATCAACAGTATACAGAAAGAGAGTTCTTTTTCCGGTTTCCCACAGATCCTGGACCAATCTTCTCTCCGGGAATGCTTATGCTTGAGATATACGAGATAATTTTGCCGTTCATTAAATATGTTTCATCAGTTTTATTGATGATCTACAGTTAATACATTTATTTCATTTAAGAGGTAACCCCATCTGTGCATTATGCAAAACCTGAAAGCAATCGATCATGGTAAATGCTAAAATCAGCATATTCTTGCATGTTATACAAAATTGTAATACTTTGTCATAACTAATCACGGAATCAGTATTCCAGTATTTTGTATACAAATGCATGACTACATGTATTGTTGGTTGGAAAATTAATGCAGTATGTGCTTTCATAAGCTAACATGATGAAGGTTTTAGACCAGCTGATGGTGTAGACATGTCACATGCTAACATAAGCATATTTAAAAATAGCATATGACGCCTGTGACCATGAATGTTGAACAAGGACATTAGGTTGAACAGAATTTATAGTCTTCCAACCCAGTATGCTTCTAGCAAAATATCATTACCCTGGACCTTTTGGTTATACAGAACAAGTTATTTAAAGATTTAAACATTTATTGACCAGTGTGGCCTTGAATATGGGTGAAGGTCATTCATTTGAAAAAACCTGGTAGTCCTTCATCCCAGCATGTTACTGGCCAAATATCGTTAACCTAGGTCTCTTGGTTATTTAGAAGAAGTTGTTTAAAGGTTTTAAACATATTTGACCATTGTGACCTTGAATATAAGTCAAGATCACTCATTTGAACCAACTTGGAAGCCCTTCATTACAGCATACTACTGGCCATGTAACATCATCCTAGGCCTTTTGGTTATTGAGAAGAAGTTGTTTAAAGTAAAATATTGACACCGGACAGATGCCGGACGGCCGGACAGACGAGGGACGCCGCACCAAGGCATAAGCTTACTTGGCCCTTCGGGCTAAAAATAAGTCAGAACAAATTCAAAGCAGTATACAACTAATTTATGGTGGAGGTAGGAAAATGATAATGATGATCAATTATCAGATGTTTTTTAGAGAGTAATTATACAGCACACTTATATTACTAGTCAGCACTTACCTTGGAGAATACTGTTGGCATGACAACAATGCTGCATGTGACCAGAGATGCTTAGCAACAAGAGCAAGTCTCTGGGCCTGGGCCTGACACTGTCCTAGAGACACCTGTAGACATTGGAGGTCAGACGGGGCAGACCCCAGGGACCTCTTCTCGTCCCCAACCCCACATAGAAAGGTACACACTGCATAGGTAGGCGTGGCCATATGGAATGCATAAGGACCCTTGGTGACAAAACAAACGAGAAGAATAAAGCACAACGCACAGGTGGAGTTTTGACACCTAGGTATACTGCAGAAACCAGAACAGTGCTTAACAAGTAATTTCAGAAATGTCTAAAGTAGAATGTATGAACTCGACCTTTAACCTTAGGATCATCAAAGTTCACATTGAAGCCTGTGCAGTAGGTTAGTATATAACATCATAGAAGCTACATGTAGTATATGACCTAGGGTACTTATGTAACATACATAGACGCTGTCCTTGAGCTGACTGGCTGTGTCCTCGTCCTCTCCTTCACTCCAGTGAAGCCAGGAGTCCATATGTTTCACGGCCGTGCAGTTCCACGTCTTCCTGAATGATTGTTTATACAGAATCATCCGACTCTGCTGTGGGAAAAAAATCAATGCAAAAATTAAACCAGAATTAACATATTTTCATAAAAACACTGACACAAAATTTCAAAGAATTGCCATTTATTGTAGTCAGTGACCTCGGGACTCAAATGTACTTGACTTTAGGAGGATAGTCTGACATATGTATCTTTTTTATTTTTTTGTTGAACAGAAATTTGTTTTTTAGCATTAAATGTGGATTTACATAACTTGTGAATATTTTCTGACTAACAAAACTGATGAATTTTGATGTAACAGAAAACGTCTTTTATACAGGAATCGGTGTCATTGGTTGACAAATTTGAATGCAAACCGTTTAAATGACCTTGACCTTGAGATTCTTAAATATAAACTCATTTCAGGTATACTTGCTAGAACAGCAACACTTAATCAGAATGGAATGCAACCGGACAGGATAGACATGGGTAACAAAATATGATCCCCCCCCCCCCCAAAAAAAAAAACGGGGCATTGGCGGACACAAGAGATTCCTCTTCAATTTAAGTTAAGGTCTTTTTGTAATTTTTTGTAATTTCCTTAACATAGTGACCTATAATGACATTATTACCTGTTGGGGATTAGTGTGTCTGAGATCGTTGTAAAGAGTGACTTGTGCTGGGGACACCGGGGTAAAGGTCATACAGAAGTCAGTTAAAGTGGTGCAACCCTCAGGGACATTGCCGTTGTAAAGCCTGGGCAACAATGCCGCCTCAGCCACGAGACTAGTGTACTCAAACAGCGGCCACAAACACACATGTTGCCAAGGTGACCAGGTAGCTTTGGTGTGGCCAACATTCCCTGGCTGTGACTGGATGATATCAGTAGCCATATTGTCATCATTCTTTTGGTCCAAGTCAAACTTTTTCAGAGAATCGTGAATCTGTTTCACCATCACATGGTAGTTGTCTGCAAGAAAAAACATCTATTTCAGTATCTAAAGATGATAACTGTCCATATTACTTGAAATAATTTTCAAATATCACTTTATTAAATGACATTTTCCTGTCAGTGTTACTCACCATCATTACACTCCGTGTCTCTGTGTAGAGCAGCCATCGCCTTCAGCATCACTACCATGGTTTGGCCGCCATCACACAAGAGTAGCTTTACCTTCTTACGGGTAACCATGGCAACACTCTCAACCTCAAGGTCAACTGCCCTACAAAGGTCACCTAGGGTCAAGGTCATTGCTGCTTCCTGCTTTGTCTTAAATGGAGCTGGATGACTGATAGATTTCCAGAAGTGGACAAACTGTTTGTCATTGTGTTCGAAGGACGGATGTAGATGGTTCACCACTGAATGTAAGTGGGGCGGTAAACTGTGGGTGGATAAAGAACAAAAACACTGAGAAGTTCAAAAAAAAATTGAATTGTTTTTGTGTGTGATATGCTAATACAAATCAGTAACTATTTTAAGATGTTGATCCAATGGATATAGTGGAGTTATTAGTTGTTTCATGCCATACATTTGTGTTGTAATCAAGTAGCATGTCACAGTTGTGGGTCTTTGTAAATTTTTACATGAAGCAAGATTAAATACAAAATGCAGCGAGTACAAATATGACTACCTTGGGAACATGCTGGGTAGTACATTTTCTCTCCACAACTAATGGGACTTTCTTACTTAAATAGAATCTGTGTACATGCTATACAAATGACTGAACTATATGTTTAATTAATAGTCACTTTGATAAAATCTGCTGTGTATTAAAGTGACGCTACCTGTCTTTGAGAAGGAGCCACGTCCTCTTGTAGAACATATACCAATGTAGAGCCATGTAGTGGTACTCTATTTCCTCTCCTTTGATAGAGCCATCACACGCCTCCAGCAGTCTACACCACCAAGTCACAGCATCCAGTACCTACAACAGTCAAGGTCATAGTTACTACAACACTCAAGGTCAGAGTAACTATAACAGTCAAGGTCAGGGAAACTCCAACTGTCAAGGTCACAGTATATCTACAACAGTCTACTCCACCAAGTCACAGCACCCAGTACCTACAATAGTCAAGGTCATAGTTACTACAACAGTCAAGGTCAGAGTAACTATAACAGTCAAGGTCAGGGTAAATCAAACTGTCAAGGTCACAGTATATCTACAACTGTCTACACCACCAAGTCACAGCATCCAGTACCTACAACAGTCAAGGTCATAGTTACTACAACAGTCAAGGTCATAGTTACTACAACAATCAAGGTCAGAGTAACTACAACTGTCAAGGTCACAGTATATCTACAACAGTGCAAACCTAGTTTCCTTTGGAAGTATCGGTGGGGGGACTTATAATATGTGTTACATTTAAATCTATGTTGAAATTTTAAATAAGATGGAGAAGCAATATACAATATATATGTTGTCATCAGCTTCTTCTGAATGAGTAGTTATAAAGTCAGAAATGTAAGTATACTGATACCACTTACCTTGACCACATCTGCGTAATCACACAGCTGGAGGGAGTTAATTCCCTTCAGCAGTTCTTCCTTCTGTGATAACAGTACATACATATCACAGAGTTCAGTGTGGTCCCGTCTACCCAGGGCCGATTCTGTAAAACAACAACAGTACATATATATATATCACAGAGTTCAGTGTGGTCCCGTCTACCCTGGGCCGATTTTGTAAAACAACAACAGTACATATATATCACAGAGTTCAGTGTGGTCTCGACTACCAAGTGCTGATTCTGTAAAACAACAACAGTACATATATATATATCACAGAGTTCAGTGTGGTCTCGTCTACCAAG